ATATGACAAAACAAAAACCATCTCATTGAAGTTGGGCAAGGCAAACCAAAGGAAGGAAAAGAAACCAAGAGAAAGCACAAGAGACAGAGACCCGCTTGTTCAAATACTCCGAAGTCTCAAAGACACTAAACTGAAAGCCATAATATATACACAGAGAACCTGATGCAGACCAGTGGAGGCCCCATGATTGCTTCTTCTGTCTCTGTGAGTTCATATGAGGTTTTCTCAGTTGATTTAGAGGTCTTGTTTTCCTGGTGTCCTCCAACCACTCTGGCTCTTACATTCTTTCTGCTTCTTTTCTATAAGGTTCCCTAAGCTTTGAGGGGAAGGATTTGATAGAGGCATCCCATTTTCCCATTTAGAGTTGAGCGTTCCAATCTCTCTCTCTCTCCCTCTCTCTGATGTCAGGTGAGATGACTCATCTGTTAAAGGCTAGGCTCCACAATGAAAAAATATTAATAGTCATTTTTAGTGTAAAGTCTTGAAAGGTATTCTCTTTTAAAACACATCTTAGCAATTGTTGAGTCCTTGACTAAAACACACACACAATGTCTGGCAGAGAAATGGTGCTCAGTGCATGCTTAGTGCTTTGCAAGGGAAAGCTCGTTACCCTCCCGTCCCCTGCACACAACATCTGCAATCTAGACTCATCACATTATTTTTCTCCCGTGAATGCAGAAGTATTTCATAGCCCCCAGTCCATGACAACTGGGGAGAGATAGGTGTAGCAGAAAGGGCACGCAGGCAAGTAAAAAATGACGCCACATTCTGTATTGTCTTTACTTACATATTAAACACACAGTGTTTAAGTCATGTCTGGAACAAAGACTTCTATCCAATGAGAATACAAGCTGCAGAACCAAGACGTCACTGCAAGTCTGAGAGATGTGTAGCACCTCACTGGTACTGTAAAGGTCGATGTCTCTCTCTAGATCCCATTGCATTCTTCTCTGGTCCCAGAGTCCCCATTCAGTTCTCCCCCTTTGTCTACCCGCCCACTCTTGTCATTTTCTTCCCCCACCTTTTCCCCAGAACACTGCTTCTTTGTACTCAAAGGCACATTTTTGCAAATTTCTTCCTTTGTTGTGGAGAGTATGTTTGGTGGAAGTGTATGGTAGCCAGTAACTGGAAATGATTATATAGATATCTACGGAGCAGCCCTGATCGCTCTGATTTATAAGCATATAACATCCAGGACTAAAAGTTTTACAGAACCATTTAAAAGCCATTTCAACCAGTGCCCTTTACTTCAATTGCTAAATTTCTTTTTAAATGAAATGGCTTTAGGAGTTCTTTTTTTACCATGAGCTCCTTCGGCGGTCTAGTTTTGGGTCTGGGGAAAACCAGTGAGAACTTGGGAGCATAACATCACTCCGGAAGCCTGACTTTCCAAGGCTGAGATTTATCTTTTCATCAGCAACTTCTCTCTCCCTTTTCTCCTTCTGCAACATCCCTGAGACCACACAACAGCTCTGCCTTATTGTTTTAGCTTGTTCCCCATAATCAAAGCTGAAAGGCCTTTCTAGTAGGCACATCTGTATTCCTCCTGTGAGCCCATAAAGGAACAGCTGTGCCACACATGCTCACCAGTTGCTAAATGCAGAGAGCTCCATTCATTCTGTGCCACATTTCCAAGTTTGATCGTACCAGCCCTGCACTGAGTTCAGTTCTCAGTGCACACATGCAAACATGCAGCACATATAAATGTAATCCAAGATTAGCCTTAATTTCTCTTTTGCACACCCATGTTAGTGAAAAGGAGAAATTTACTCAGTTGAGTCTCATTTCGCCTGGAGTTTCATACATTCTGACTGCAGAGGTACCATGGTCTATTTTGTCCTTAGTCACCAGGTGTTGATCACCCGAGATAGCCTCCTCATTCTCCTCACAGGGTCACAGGCTTGCAGACACTCGAGTGACTTAGGTGTCATTTTGTCTCTTTGTGTTACCCCTGCTTCCATTTAGCCTCACTTCCTTTCTATCCAGCCACTCTTCTCTAGGACACTTACTCAGAAATTCACCTCTAGAAAAGGGAAAATCCATCCATCTGCTATCAGATTGCATAAACCTTTCTTCAGTTTTGATACTCAAAAGATAGGGTGATCAGCTTTATTGAAGCCACTGCCTTCTACACATTCTCAACACTTACCTTTTATCTTCTTGCCTTAACTTGTGGGTCTTCTCTAGGCTAATGTGGTGGTGGCAATGTTGGCACTGTGAAGGTCAAGATGATGGTCTTTAGTTAATTTGTCATACTGGTGAGACCATAGTCCCTTCAAGACTTAGGTGACACAGACCCAGGGAAGCCGCACCCAGGAAAGTTTCTTCTACTTCTTTGCTCTCAAAATTCTGTTGTTTACCTCCTTGTAAGCTAAAATATGCAGGAGACTTTGGCATTCTATAATGATAGCAACTGAAAGAAAAATAATGAAGACTTAGGCGAAAATGTTAATGCTTTTAAAACTTTTCTCATCCATTCATACTGTGGTTTCAGTTTTTCCTGGGTCCTGGCATTTATTGGACTCGTTGCCATCTACATCATTCCAATACTTACCCTTTACAGAGTATGGCAAAAGAAAGGCAGGGTTGCATTGCCAGAACACTGGTCATCTGATGTGGGATCTCTTTCTGTATATGTGTTGCTTTTATTGATTGATAAATAAAGTTGTTTTGACCAATGACTGCTTAGCAGAGTAAAACCAGGCAAGAAATCCTAACACACACACACACACACACACACACACACACACACACACGAGAGTAGGTGGAGTCAAAGAGATGCCATGTAGCTGCATGGAAAAAGACGCTACCAGAACCTTCCCATTAAGTCACAGCTTCCTAGCGATGTACAGATTAATAGGAATGGATATCTTAAGAATGAATATCTTATATCTTAAGATATAAGAGCTAGATAGGAATACACTTAAGCTATTGGCTAAGCAGTGTTGTAATATAGTTTCTGTGTGATTATTGGGTCTGGGCAGTCGGAAACAAATGAGCAGTCTCTGCTTACAGCCATCTCTAGGAGAAAATCAGTACAGAGAAGACATTACTGTTGGGGACAAAACTAGTCTTGAAATTACACTAAGACATGATCCCAGGGCCAGTCTGAGACTGTATCAAAGGATGACTCTCAACCCCGGAAGGCTGACCCAGGTCTCTTGATATTCTTTTTCTCAGGTACTAGAGACTATACTTAGTCTCGTCTGACAATTTTGAGGTCTAAAGAATGAAGCCAAGTCAAGTGTTTTAGTGATGGGAAAAGGAGGGAAGCAGGGAGTGACCTTTAATAAAGATGGCAGGTAGAAGTTAGGCCACTCAACAATCTTCTTATTTAAATCCAATTCAGAGTGATTTCCTGTTCTCTGAAACACCTGCCTTGGTGTCCTAGAGATATGGGGTGGGGTGAGTGGGAAGTATTGCTAGCTTCATGAGAGTAGGAGAGTTGAACGTAGAAGCAACATTCTTCAAAAAATGTAATATTTTAATAATTCTTTGAGAATCTCACATAATGTATTTTTATCATATTTATTCCCTACCATGCTCCTCTTTCGACCTCCTCCCAGATACAATCTCTATCTTACACTCCTCTTTTTTGTTTTTCTATATATATATATATATATATACACATACATACATACATACATGCATACATATAAAACATAATTTAACCATCTGACTTCATTTATTGTTGTTTCTATGTATATGTTATCAGAGTTAAATAGTTAGTTTTGAATAGTCAGTCAGAAGACTCGTCCCTGAGAAAGATGGATTCTCACTCTCTAAGAAGTTACCAATTGCCTGTACCTTTCCATCTAGGGGTGAAGCTCCATAAAATTTCCCCCACCAGTATTGGCATGTCAACCGGTGTTATCATTTTGCAGGTCTTGTTTAGGCAACCATAATGTTGAGATTTCATGGCTGCAGCTCCCCTGGCTTTTGAAGAAGACACTATATCGCAGCAGCTGTTCAGGTCCTCTGGCTCTTACAGTTTTTCTGTTCTTTCTTTCAAGATGTTCCCTGAGCCTTAGGTACTGCTATAGATATTTCACATGAGGTTGAGTACTTCATGGTCAGTTTTTCTCTACATTTATGGACAGTTGAGGACAAATAATTATTTCAAATCATTTGTTAAAGAGCTAAAGTACATCAAACATTTTTATTTTATTTGCTGTGTATATGTCCACATTCATGTGTAGAAGCCAGAGATTGATGCTGATGTCTTCCTCAATCATTCTTTACCTAAGGTTTTGGGGCAGAATGTCTTATCTAACCTGAAACTCACTTCTGCTAGACTAGTTGGCCAACAAACCTTGAGGATTTCCCATCTCTACCTCCCTAACACTGTGCTGCCGTACCAATCTATTTCTCTCTTATGGGTGATGGGGACCCAAATGTAGACCCTCATACTTACAGATCAGACATTTACTGACCGAGTCATAGCCACAGCTCCCAAACACTTCTAAAGCACACCGATGTTAGTGTTATTACCCCTGCTTTACAGGGAGTGAAGCTGAGTTCTGGGAGACCAGATGGCTAATGACAGCTAGAATATAGAAGAGCTCGGTACCTCTCTGGCTGCTTCTCCCTGGATCCCAACTTCATGAGTTTCTGCTGATAATAATGACTCTCTTCCCCAGCTTTTAAAAACTCTACTCCAAAATATTTATATTTATTTTTTGAGGTTAGCATTTATAACTTTATTTTTCACTTCTCAGGGTGATTTAATGTACACCAAGAGCTGAGAATCTTGTCCCTCTCACACAGATATTTCTGGTAACTGGGTCTATAATGACCCATGACAGATATTAGAGAAATGTTTACTAATTAGTTCTGCCGGTATCCATAGAAAGAGGGAAGAATGCTGTTGGATACTACCAAGTCAGTTACAGACTTTTTGTAGAGGCTGAGATGGACTATTTGGGATTTTTGTCAAAGAATAACTAAGGAGGCTGTCATTCATCTCTTTCTCAAAGATGTTTTCCAACCTTCCATTTCAGGTGGTGTTGTCCTCAACCCAGCCTATTACGGCATGCCGGGCCACACCAACACCATGATCCATGAGGTGGGACATGTCCTGGGACTCTACCATGTATTCAAAGGAGTCAGTGAAAAAGAATCCTGTGATGATCCCTGTAGAGAGACAGTGCCATCCATGGAGACAGGAGACCTCTGTGCTGATACTGCTCCTACACCCAAGAGTAGGCTGTGTCGGGACCCAGAGCCAGCTAACGACATCTGCGGTCTTACCCACTTCCCAGGGGCTCCATTCAGTAACTACATGAGCTACACAGGTATTAACACAGACTTTATGCTTTGTTTTGTCTTAAGGTCACGTAAGTGTCATTAGGAATTGGTAGGGTGTATGTAGTTAAAGGGAGTCAGGGAGGTTCATGTCCCAGAAGGATATTTTGTGTTGGATAGTCCTTTCTTTTCCATGTGTTTGAAGGATTTGACAAAAATGTTGAGGTATTGTGGTCTTGTTGAGTAGACTCTCTTCCATTAGAGTTTGAAAGTGAAACACATTTGTATCATGCATAGTTAAAATGGGACCAAGTCAAAACAATCCCCTTGAGATCTCTTCCAGGCTTTACAATGTGATCACTTTCATGAAGGCATTTCCCTGAAGACTGTCTAGTCTGACAGTGGTAAGTGACAGGTCTTTGGGTGTAGATGTCCCTTCAGCACTTTTACAGATAGTTAACAAATTGACTTGATTAACTGAAGTGCTTATAACCTTTTATCTTACACTGTGAAAAAAAATCAGATCCTCTTTTACCAGCACAACATTGAATTCTAGCTTACCCTTCATGTACTTTAACCCAAAATGATTTTTAAAAAAAAATGGGTACATTGTTGGCCCTGAGGAAAACTGTTTTGTGTGGTCTTGTCCTTTTTGGGGAATGTCTCCTGGATCATCCACCTTACCAGTGTATCTATCAGACCTTCCTTATTTCTGGCAAAAAGTAACACTAAGTATTCTTCTAATAATGGGCATAATTATAATTAAAATTGACAACTAATTTGATTTGATCACCTATGCCAAGGATGAAGGAATGTTAATTTTTAGTTCCATGCTTTACTAAAAGGCAAATACCAGCCCTGCTCATGACTTTGCAGGTAAGAGAGAACAATGAGCTAGCTGGGTCTCCCTGTGGCCTCTTAAGATGTTTCCCTCCAAATTTCATTGTTGTGAACAATAAATTGAGTTCATCAGCATCAACAGCTCTTTTGCCCTTAGCCAGGACTACGTGGCCTTGGAGATGCAGCGTCTAGGAGCAGAGCCTCCTTAAGTTCCACCTTTAAGTGTGGCAGAGACAGTGTTGAGAAGCAGATGCAGGGTTTTTGGTCTACTCAAAATAGAAAAACATATGAAATAAAGATCACTCCTGTTCAACTTCATGGCTTGAATAATGAATACACTGCTTTTGCTAACTCTGAAAGAAAGACTGGAGCCATCATTCCCATCCCTGAAGTTTCCTTGACGGTTCGGCTGCTGCTCCGGAGCAGCTCCAGTGAATATTCCTACGGCATGATGACAGGGTGAAGAGACCCTCTGCTGAAAACTGCCATCTTGTGGTAGACTCAAGACACCTCAAGTGACAAAGCACACTGCAGCTGTCAGTCTGGAACAGTGGCTCTCCAACTGTGGGGTGGTCATATATCAGATACCTTGCCTATCAGTTCTTTACATTATTATTCAAATCAGTAGTAAAAATTACAGTTATACAGTAGCAAAGAAAACAATTTATGGTTGGGGTCCCCACAACATGAGGAACTGTATGAAAGGGTTGTGACATTAGGAAGGTTGAGAACCACTGTCTTCAGACAATCCTATGACTTTATGAGCAGAGTCTCATCCTAGGATAAGCCGAGAATATAGGAATGAGATTGCTTCAGAAAAAAGCAAGTTCTATGTCTCTGCTATTCCTCTCCCTCACCTGACTTTCTAGAGAAGAAAGAATTTCTTTACCGAGTGTAATAAATGCAAAATGTGGGGCACTAGGAATAATGAGAATGGAGTGAGATGTTTGCCTTGCCTTGAGACCCTGGTACAGGTTCAGCCTTCGCATCTTCTTTTGTCTCCACAGATGATGAGTGTACCGACAGCTTCACCCCTAACCAGGTGGCCCGGATGCATTGCTATTTGGACCTTGTATACCAGCAATGGAGCGAAAGCAGAAAGCCCACCCCCATTCCTATCCCACCCATGGTTATTGGGCAAAACCACACGTCCCTCACTATCCACTGGCTGCCTCCAATTAGTGGGGTGGTCTATGACAGGTGAGAGGGGTGCTCCATTGTGTTGGAATCATTGCCAAACAGGGAAAAAAACTATAAAATGAGGGGAATGCCTATTGGGATGTAAACATGTACAGGGCTGTCCAGGGACACCTCCTGAGCCTGCTCTGGGCTCAGCTCCTTAGCAATGCGCTAAGGGTGTCTCATGGGAGCCAGAGGCTCGTCATGTGTGTTTATGCCACACAAGGATGGCCTGGCAGAATTGGCAAAGCATGGTCTATCTGTCTTAACCAGGTGTTCCTCTGCAGGGTAAGGCTTGTTTCTTGGACACTGGTGACTGGGGAAAGGGAAGCAGATCATGTTTCTTTGGTCAGTTCTTGGGTGAAAAGAGAAAGTGTGGGTGTATACAAACTCAACTCAGCATTTCTAATGCTGAATCTGCCTCCAGCTGAACCCTGTGGTCAGCCTGAGGGCCACTGTCTAGAGTGGTTACTCTCTGCTCTTACTTGCCCCCTCTACTGGCAACTAGTGCTTTTGTATTTTCCCCTCTGGGACTGCCATAGTAGACACTTAATACATACTCACCGAAGAAAATCACAGCACCTGAAGCCAGCTGTCATTCTTCTTCTGTTTACTTATAGAACTAAATCTCGGGAATTCTTTATTAGAGAGAGAGAGAGAGAGAGAGAGAGAGAGAAAGAGAGAGAGAGAGAGGATGCTGACAATGAGGCATATGGTTGAACTGAAAAGGTTCCTTTGACCCATGTAGATGTGGCTCTATGGAAGCCTATACCCAGATGCTAACTAACAGGAGAGCATCTTTCCCCTGTTACACGGGGACACTGTGAGACATCTGGCTTCACCTGCCTTGTGTAGTCCTCACAACTGAGTGAGAAACTCCTTTCAAGACCCCACAACAGGTGTTTCTGGGGGAAATCCAGAAATGAGGAACACAGACAGATGAATGCTTTGACTTTTATGCTTTCTTTCCCATTTAGCAGGTAAACATCTACTCTTTAATTTTTCTCAATTTAGTGCCTTTACTAATTATTTTAAAATAACCCATTAGGTCCAGTTAGTATTGTCCACATACTCACAAGTGTAGGGCCATAGGACAGTGACTCTTCTTCGTACAACAGTTCACTATGACTATCTGGGTCCAGCGAAGGAACGAATGGCCCTGGAGCATGTCCTCACACACTTTGGATTTAATGAAAGCCTGGGGTTGGGGCAGATAAGGAGAGATGAGGACACAGCGGGTTATTTTTCAAAGTGAGAGTCACAGTTTCTTGAAAGCTTCATTCCGTGACTCGCACTTAGTCATGACATCATTTCTCACTCCCAACACTGCAGAATAGTTTGCACCGTTATCAGCACCCAGGTTCCCGTGGGCCCCCGTCAGTGACTCGGCACGCATCTACGCAATGTGTCTGAGAGTCATCTTCCTGCAAGTGTGACCTTGTGCAGCTCTGGCAGGACCGTCCTGTGTGGGTACATGCAAACCCGAGTTTTACATCAGTTTATGTAACACGTGTAAACAATTTAATCTTTCAATTCTCTCTCTGGTACAAGCCTTACGATAAAGCAGACATCAGAACTGGCTTGCTGAGAGTCTGCTGGCAGCAAAGAGTGCACTTTGCTCCCTTTTCCCACCTAGGTGGGCTAGTTTTGAGGCCTCCTAGCACGTGTGTTGGAGAGACTCACGTCACATGCCCAGCAATTTGTGTCATGCCTAGAGTTATGTTTACTCCACCCTTGTAGGTATTTGGAATCCTTATGTCAGAGAAGAGCCCCAGCTACGCACTCTGCAGCTGCCCCGGAAGGGCAAGTGCATCAGGAAAATGTGGTTTGGAACTGTGTTCACGCTAGAAAAAGTACTGATGGGATCAAAGGGTGGGTCTTAACTCCACCCTTTAGTTGCCAAAATACTGAACACTAACGAGATGCTATTTGGAAACTTGCTCAAAGGGATAAAGCAGCCTGTGACTTTGGGCAACTGACCTCAAGGTTTCTGAGCTCCAGTCTTCTCATTTGTAAGCATGGTGTCCTCACAAGGGTTAGGAAGAAGTTGTGAAAAACACAAGGCCGGGTTATGTAAGGTGCTTCCTGTCAGTATTATTGCCATTGGGTAATAAGATGGTTTTAGTAGTGTATTGTAAGATACTAACCTGCTATTCATATGTTCTGTTGGGATACTGCCTTGATTTTAGGTTAGCATTTCAGATATGCTGTTCACAAGGGGGCTTCTGAAAACATTCCAAGTATGAGAGAGAGAGAGAGAGAGAGAGAGAGAGAGAGAGAGAGAGAGAGAG